TTTCATTGTCATCAAAAGTCCATTGTTATTTCTGTGTAATGATGTGTGTGAATGCGGGGGGGGGGGGGAGTGCACTGTGTAATGAAGCATCCCGATTACGCATGCATTCGTGGATTGCTTTTCTTTAAAATCCTGTCTCATGGGCAGGAAAACCAGCCTGCTGGAATTACTGCCCTGTATAATAAGGAAAAGCACATACTAGGGGAACTACACAACAGCTGGGTTGTGCGTGTGTTCTAACAGGTTCGACTTCACACATTTTTTTGTTTGAAGGAATAACCTGTATTCCTCCCCCTTGCAATCCCTAGCTGCTAACAAGCACTCAAGGAGACAGTTTCACATTCCTGTCAAACTGAGAGAGGTCATCTTGGAGCACCTGCCTACCCATCTAATGGAGAAGTTGAAATACCTGGTGCTTATTTACTCCTCCTCGGATTCCTTCCACAACCTGGATTTTTTTGATTTTATCTGCAAGAGTAACTGGTCCTTCCCGAAAGCACTTAAGGGCATTCTATGCAGTGCGTCAGTGGTGATGGATCCTGAGCCTTCTGCAAGAGAAGCCCTGCCTGGCATTATGAATGCAGTCTGCAGAAGCATCTAGAATAAAGCAAAGGCCCTGTACTGGCATCCATACTGGGTAGTAGAGTGAATAAGTGAGACAATACCAGGATCACACTGGCTGCACCCTCATATCCATGCACTGATCTTAAACTTCTGTATTTACTCAGGTACTAGGATACAGTATGATCTGATCCTGTAAACGAAGTGGGATGAGAAATGGCTGAGTGATAGAACACAAGCTTTCCAAGAAAAAAAAAAAAAAAAAAAAAACAGGTTTGTTCCTTGACTTCTCCACTGAATGCTGGGAAAAAACTTGGTCTGAAACCTGGAGAGCCACTGCTAGTCAGAGTTAAAGTGCATGTTACAGGAATTGGTATCATGCACTGAAGTTTTCCCCCCTTTTTGTAATTCTAGAATAAGTACTGAGCGAGGAAGCATCCTATATTTCTAAGCTCATGAACAGAAACCCTCTTGCTCCCAAGCTGCATCCAAGTTATAATTGTTGGGAACACACAAAAGACCTTTCTCAGTTGTGGTGCCCATTTTTTGAAATCCTCTGCTTGGAAAACCATTTTATTTTTACTTCTTCACTGCTTCCAAAATGGGTTGTTGTTTTTTAGTTCTTTAAGGCGTGACCCTATTGGTATTCGCATCAACCTCTGGATTCAGAGGCTTCCATGCCTCCTGTACAGAGCTGGAGAAATGATGACCTCCATCTCTGCTATCCTGACCTGCAGTTTTGCTAGATGGCAGTTTGTAGCTGTCTAGCTAGAGAAGGAGGCCTATGTCCCTGGTCTCCTCCCCTGCCTGCCCTCTAGAACGTCCCCTCTCCAACTTGGGGTTTCTAACCATGGAGGGGCTGTCGAGGCTCTTCTTCCCATGCTGGCCGTGAGGTGAGGATAGGACAGTAGAAGTCTAGATGCCCAGCTGCAAGGTCAGCACTCTGTTTCTGATCTTGGTCTGGGAATCCAAAAAATCCTTTGCCCCGTGCCCAGATGAAGGATCACTCCCTTACATGACCATTGACTTTTACCCTGATTGTATTCTCTTGCCAACTTTTAACAATTTTCCATTATGTTTTATTGTACTGTACTTTATTGTTTTAATTTTTTATCTGCCCAGGAAATCATAAAGTCATAAAACAGTAGAGTTGGGAGGGACCGGAGGGCCATCGGGTGTATTCTGCTGCTCGGTGCCAGTTAAACCAACCCTCTCAGGTGGCTGTCCAGTTGCATCATAAATGCCTCTAGTGTGGGACAGCCCACAACCTCCACAAGTCATTGGTCCCATTGTTGTAGTGCTCTAACAGTCAGAAAGTTCTTCCTGATGTTCATCCGGAACCTGGGCTATTGTAACTCGAGCCTGTTATTCTGTGTCCTGCACTCTGGGTTGATTGAGAGGAGATCCTGCTCTTCTTTCTTCTGGCAGCCTTTCAAGAACTTGTAAAGTGCTATCATGTTTCCCCTCAATCTTCTCTTCCTGAGGCTAAACATGCCCAGTTCATTCAATCTCTCCTCACAGGGCTTTGTTTCCAGTCCCTGGACCATCCTAGCTGCCCTCCTCAGTATCCTTTCCAGTTTGTCTGCATCTTTCTTAAACTGTGGGGCTCCACAGCTTCATTCTATAGCGCCTGCTCTTCGGTAGACTCAAAAACCCTCCATTCAGTCTCTTAATAGTAACATGACAACATCCTACCCCACTCAAAAAAACCTTCTACAGAAGTTACAAGTTAGATGCACTGTGCCAAATCTAAAATTAACAGCAGGCCACATTATTTTTATACAGATATATTTAAAAACAACATTCAGACTTTGTGACTAATGCAACCTTTCGGAATCTGGATAAAATTTAATTCAAGTTATAAATTCTTCCTAAATCGTTAGAGGAAGTCACTTGGGTGTTCCAAATGAGGAAAATAATTGGTAGAGAACCCGAGAGCTTTGTTACGTGCAGAAATGATAAGCGTTGGCAAACCAGGTGAGAGGTTCATTCAAAGGAACACAACATCTAAGAAGGGTTGGGGTAAGAGAAGGTGGGCACTAGGAGAGGCTTAACATTGCAGGGAGATCAAAGGAAGACCGCTGCTTCAACACAATGAAGGGCTTTTTAAACTGCCACAAAAAGAAATACCTCAGACTAGGAAAAGCACAGGCATCATTTTATTTTCCAGCTTCTTCTTCCTTAATTCCAGCACAATGGATCTCAGGCATAACAGCAGCAACCCTAAGTTTTCCCATACTCTTTATACGGCTTCTTGAGATTTCAGGAGAAAAAAAAAAAAAAGGAGCCCATCCCTATTTATCCAGGTTCTTTAGAGGTGACACTCTCAATAATAAGGTTAATGATGATGACAATAATGATCTGCAGGAGGCAAGAATCAAGCTAGAGGGATGGACAAATCATGGGTCTTTTCATCTGCACATACATGCATAGTTTTGACTGTCTGTAATATGGGGTCAAATGTTCAGTATGTATGACATCAAGCAAACATAGGAATAAAGCACAACAAGGTAGTGAAAGGCAAAAGGAAAAGACGAATCAAAGCTCTAATCCTAAACAAGCCTACAGAGAGGAACATTTTATTAAAAAACTTGGAATTTACTTCCAGATTTGGCTGGGTCTATCTATATTCATGCACAAGAAACTCCATGGACCTTGATTCCAAATATAAAGTCACAGGATTTACTGCTTCAAGGCATGTTTTAGGTTTAAGGTTTAGGTTAAAGCAATGAAGATGAACAAAAGACTTCACCACCATCTTAGCACACAATCTGATGCCTCTATTTAGACAAAAATTAAGTCCTACAATTTGCAGCATTCCTTAGTCGGAATGGCTGGCTGGGGGTTGCGGGACATTTTTTTTTCTGTCTAAACATGCACTGGATAGTACCCTAAGAGATGGAACTCTGTTCACCAAGCAACATTCCCGTTGCTATTACATATTACCCAACTCAGCTTATGCTTTTAGCACATTCTCTGCTTCTAAACTAGCCCTCAGTTCATAAAATCATAGAACAGTAGAATTGGAAGGGGCCATGAAGACCATCAGGTCCCAGCCCCTGCTGTTGCTGGACACCAATTTACACCTCTCTTTCTCATTCACAGGTGATCTGCAAGCTCCACCCAGGTTAGAGACACATATAGTTACTGTGGGTTACATTTTCACAGGAAACACCTTCATGGCTTCTTTGTCTCAGCATGACTGTGGGCCATTTAAGCCTTAACATAAGGCAAAACTGCATCTCAATTAATTCTGCCAGGCTGCAACTATTTACTTAGCTGTAGTCTATACTTTTGATCTGTCCCAGGAACTTGCAGGATGCTGTCAACGTTCTCTAGATTCTTGAAATTCATGTTTGACCACACATCTTTTTATGATCAAAGGAACAAATCTGTTTAACAAAGTGGGGCTTGCTTCCAAGCAAACTCACTTAGGCTGGAATGCTGACTGGGATGTAAAACTTACAGGCGTTAATAGGATTTGCCTCCAAGGTGTGGACCAGGCTGCAAGTCTATCTCTATTCAGTACGTTGGGGCAAAACAGGACTGCTGTAGCAGATCCAGCTTCCATACTAGGCAGATTCATGTGGTTCTTTGAACAGAATCTACACACAGATCAGAAATGCACAGCCTATGTGCATACAGTTTATACACTCACAGAATCTGTTACACCAGATCATATCATGGATAACTTCCGAATTCAGACATCCTGTATTATAGCCTACTTTTGACTAAACATCAATCAGCATTTGGCTATCTGCTCACTTGAATGAGGAAGTCTGATGAAGAGCTCTGTGCAATTCAAAAGCTTGCATAAGGCAGGGTAAACCCAGCTTGAATGTAAGAAAAGTGTTATGTTACCCATCATCTGTATTTTGAAAACACATGATCCTACAGGCTGCACCAAAACAATTTTTTAAAGATGAAAAGAAATGGAGAAGAGGCTACTAAACAAGGAAAACATTGTAAACACTACAGACTGAATGACATTTAAATGTTTCAATAAATAGGAAATGATTTTTCAAAGTAAACCAGAGTATTCTGCGGTTCACCATGCACAAGGGGAATAAGTGAAACGTATACAAGTAAAATCCTAAATGGCTTGGGACCAGGATATCTGAATGATCACCTCCTCCTCAAGGAACCCGCCTGCAAAACTGGCCAGATGCAGTAGGGCCTTTTCTGCAGCTGCACCCTGACTCTAGAATTCTCTCCCAAGAGAGGGCAGCTCAGACCCAGTGGGGACTGTACTGTCTGGCCAAGCAGCTTTGCCTTTTTAAATTGTTTGGCCTGCTCTAAAGAATGTTCTGTTTATGGATTTTGTGTTTATTTTGAGTTGACTGGATACATGTCCCTCTATACTTCTCTGAAGGCCCTGGTGGGCAGAAAAGGGATTAATACGATGAGAGCGGAGACCATTTTGAAAGGTGCTTACTCACCTATATGTGTTTGCGCCATTACATCCGCTAGCCTATGCGCAGCGCCACTGCCGCCGCTTTGCGTCGAAGATGAAGATGTGGTGGATGTGGTGGAGCCATGGATGGCTTGGCTGATCCAGTGTTCCATATTTATACTCCCCTGGCTCGAGGTTGGAGTTCCCTGTGAGTCGCCCTGTACAGAACCTTCATCTTCTGAACCAGAGGAGGTATCTATGGATGCAAACATGTGATAAAATGTGCTGATTCTCTGGCCAGAGAAGCACATCAAGTCTTCAGCAGAGATATTTTATTTATTTATTTATTAAACCGTTTCTATGCCGCCCCTTGCCGAAGCCAATTCAAGGCACAGCTTGCTATAAAGAAAGTTACCAATTATAACGGCTGACACTTACAACTGAATTGACCATTGTCAGAGATTCAAGCAGCATGTTTGACCGGACATGTTTGCTACAAGGAAAGGAATAATGGCTTATCTACAGAAGGAAACTGAATAATTGCAATAGCTTAGTGGAGCTGTTCATATTAGGCTGCTTCCTATTATCCACAATTTTTCATTTACATGTACAAAAAGAACACTTCAGTTTCAAATGTTATTCAAAGTTAAAAGTTCTGCCTTTTTAGCATAAACAAAAGTAGTCATAAAACTATTTTGAAAACGTAATTTAACTTTGTTGAAAGGAATCGCAGAATAAGTCAGTGAAATGAGCAAGTCTCCGGGTCTGGAGGATGGGGCATCCCTGCAGCAAAGGGCATTGGACTGTACCCTAGAAGCAGCAACAACAGGGCCAAGGGGTGCGAGATTCTCAGTTTTTCCAGTGATTTTAAGGGGGGCCGTCAAAACGATTTGCAGAGGGAGGGAGATGAGTGAACACTGCGAAGGCATCAGGGCCAAGCCTTCCTAACCAGCTCTGGCCACATGGAGTTTTGCAAGTCCAGTGGTATCACACCACTGGGTGTCCTTTGAGGCAGTTCCGTTAAAGGCAATGCAATTCAAGCAGAGCATCTCCTGTTCTGGACACGCTCCTTCCCTTCCCACGCTGCAATCAACGTTTTCTTAAACAAGAGGGCCACTGCCTGGCCACTGCTAAGGCTTTATGATTGCTTTGCTAATCATGGAAAAGTCAGAGCAAAGTATCACCTATGTGAGGTCAGGTGACCAAGCCTGGCTGTCGAGGTGAACAACAGCATCACTGGGTTTTGCATGTGATTTTGATTCCCTGGAATCCTTCAAGAAGAAGAGGGATGCCGGGATGGCACTGGAGCAGTGGGGGAGGGCAGCAATAAGAAGAAAACGAACGGTGTGAAAAAGACTTCCTCTTCTTGTTATTATTACACTGCAATTTCATCCTGCTTTTTTTTTCCTCCTGTGAAGAATACACGACAGCTTACACAGTCCTCCCGTATTCCATTCTGGCCTCATAACAACAACCCTGTGAGGAAGGTTGCCCCTTAAAAAGAACTTCCTTCACCTAACAAGAAATTCAAGAGCAGGTTTGCAGCACACATGACAAGCCATGCCCTACATTCCACCGTTTTGGGAAGAAGGGGCCTGCACCTAGACGAGGACTGGAGACTTTTATCTTGAAGGGCAGAAAAGGAGATTCCACAAGGCGAGGGAGGCCTCGCACATCCCAAATGAAGCTGCAGATTTCTCGCAAGCACCTTTCTAGCCAGCTGTTGCGCTCTGATTTTCCTCTGGAGGACAACCACATTCTTCCCACCGTGAGATGTTTTATGCTGATTTCTAACCTTCTTGTTTAAGCAAAATGGAAGGGAAAATTAAGAATTCAGCAACTTTTAAAGCTGTGACCCTAAAAAACCTACAGAGTGTAAGCCAACATGCCTACTTGACCCTTCTGCCCCATTTGCTTAAGTCAGTCTGCAAAACCCCCCTTGGTACCTTGTTTGCCAGAACTATGACAGCTTGGAGAGAATTATGCAAAAATATTACCCATCAACTCCCGCCCTTTCCTCACACCACTTAGGAAAAGGCAGCCCACCATCTTCCCTTAATATATGAGAGCTGAAAGTTCTTTTTTTTCAACATCTGATGAGCCATCTTAGAAGATTTTTTTTTTCTTTTCTTTTCTTCTGATGATTAGATTCTGAGAGGAGGGATAAAAAGAGCAACCCAAATCCGCAGATTTTTACAAAGAAAAGGGAAAGAAGATCCCTCCGGGCTTTATCCTGTTTTTCTTCTAAGTGGCCCTTATTGAATCATTTCATTTTTCCTAATATTCTACCCCATACCAAAGTCCAAAACATCTTGGCTCCAAGTTGATCTTTTCATGTCTCCATGCAGGTGCTTCCAAATCCCTGCACTTACTCCAAACCTCTCCTCCAAAACTTTCTCACAGTCCCCCAAAAGAGTCGGTTTCTCCCTGATTCATATTGTCCCCAGCTGAAAGACAGACACACCCCTTGCTAGAAAATAAAATACAGCTGTAGCTACCCCTGTTGTAATGTCAAGGGCAGAATCCAACTCCTTTTGAGGTTTCTCCAAGGAAGCGTGAAGTCTCCTGTCCATGAGCAGTGGATTTCACTTGCAAAATGAATTGCTTGAGGAAAGGCATTTGCAGCCCAGAAAGCAGTCCATGGGCACTGGATTCTGCTCATAGTATTTTGGGGTGGTTTAGTGTTGAATGGGCAAGTAAGGGGAATTGTAAAAGACCTGCTCGTAGCAGACATGAGAGCTGCTATATTTGGTTTGTTGATATGGATCAATGCAGCTGCCTGCAGTTTTGGACTCTCCTGACTATGGGGACTGTCAGGACAAATGCCTGCACTTCAAAATTTACCACTAAACCACTGCAGGAGACAACTTGGGTACATTCAGAGAAATGGTTTCCCATGGATTCAAAGCTACACACCATCTGCAAGCTTTAACAGGTGGGAAGGCAATCTACCTTTGTTCCTGCATGCCTATCAAGCCAGGATGGAAGTTGTGTTCTAAAATCCTTACTTAGAACTCAGTTCTATCTGTATTCAAATGGAAACTGTTCCTGAATAAATGCATTTAGTATCAGTGTATCAGCCTACACCAAATATGGAAATACAAAATGGGTCAGTAGCTTTGCTATGGCAACAGGAAAAAAGAGAATGGTGGAAACGCATCAGTACCTAGTGGAGGAATCGACATTAAGGTTGAACTGGGAACAAGCCTGCTTCCATTTACACACAAGTAAGTTCCACTGATAACAGAGGGACTTACTTCCATGTGAATGTGTACAGGATCAGAATGGTTTTCAGGGTAAGAACTGAGATGCACTGATTGTGACCAATCACAGTGAACTAATGCTAACTTACTTAAGTTAGCTAACTTAAGTAATGAATTCTCAGTTGGGTCATTTTAAAGAGTGTGTAAAAGGTAAGCATAATGCATATAGTATTAGCATCTTACCTGGAGGTGTGTAGGCATCCATTGATGTTTGTACCACCAATGAACGTCGCTTGGATGGCATAGGCACAGCCATCTTCCTTTCTTTATGTTTTGCAAGGGCTGCCTGGACCGCTTCTGTATGCACATCTAGAATTAAAACCTAAATATCAGTTTGGAATTTGAGCAGAAGAAGCCATAAACACAGACAGATTTTACAAGAAGCCTGACCTTATAAATTCCTTAGTCAGAGACATATTTTTGTACCCTTTAAGGCACATGCAAGCACCTAATTCTGCAGCATAATTACCATGCAAAAAGAGGAAAGCAGGAAAAAGAGGAAAGCAAATGCTGGAATAGAGTTCAAAACACATCTCCTATAAAACATGCTAAAGCTGCAATCTAAAATGCACTTTCTTTGAAATAAGTTGCAGTAGGCTAATGGTGTTTGCTAGGCAAACAGCTGTCTGTTTCAGTGCAGAAAAAACTGTTCAGTTCTTCTAGGGGCTTGGTATTTGACGCCATCATCTTTGATGTGCTATAAGCTGGTTAAGACATTTTATTTTGCCACATCTTTGCTTGTGAATTTTTGTTTTGATTTGCTGCAGCAGTTTATTAGTTGCTCCCCTTCTTGGTCACACAACTTTAAAAGTACAGGCACTCTGCCAGGAAGGGGAGAGGGGGCAGGCATGCAGGGAAAGCAATGTTGGCATTACAACCCCATCTGCATTGTTCAACATAATTTGACTTCCAGCTCGGAAGAGCTATGCAAACAAAGACTAATAACACGAAGCACTGTGTTTCAAATTTAAGGTATGCTTTTAAGTAGCAACACAAACAACCTGGGATATCAGGAAAAAAATCTATTGAAATAGTTTGTGTGATTCAAGAAGCTTTCAGCTAAGGAAAAGGGATGCAGTTGGAAAAAAGGCATCTAAATGATATATTTCTAAAGTGATATAGCGAAACCATAGAGCACACTGTTGTTTCTTACTGTGGTTTCCAAAGACCAAACTTACCATGGTGAAATACTATAACGAGGTTATAGTATTTCATCATGGCTTGTTGTGTTGTCTGAACTTCGGATTTTAGGATGGTTTCTATGGTCTCAGTATGGGACTACAGCAGAGATCGTGAAAGAGTAGCACTTGCGGGATCCACTCTTGCCAGCCAGAGACAATGTGTGGACCAATGAGGAAGAGAGAGACCCAGGCAGGGAGCTATGCAGCTTGGGACTGAATTTTGGGAATGGTGGTTGATGAGATATGCACCAACAGTGGGAGCACTGAGCAGAGAGGATGGAAACCACAACAGAGTCCAAACAACTTGATCATCTGTCAATAAAAAACACAACCCATGGTAACTGTGTAGGACTGATTGTTGTGTTGTGTGAACCCAGGCAATTTATGGAACAGGGCTTGCCACTAAGTCTATATAGAGTGAATTCCTGGGTTCTCACAATAGCATTCTCCTTTATTTTTAAAAAGAGATAGTTGTGCTCTCATTTCATAGGTTTTTTAAATAACTTTATTTTAAGCCTCACATTAGTGTAGTTTATGAGACCACACCAGCTTTCTCCAATCTGGTGTCCTCCAGATGTGTTAGACTATTACTCCATACTGGCTGAGGGATGCTGGGTGTTGTAGTCCAAGACATCTGGAAAGTACCAGGTTGGAAAAAGGCTGGTCTATGTATTCTAGCCTGGAGAAGTCACAATTCTCTCATTTCTAGTTCCTAGTGGATAAAGTGGTCATGTTAATGCTTTACCTCACATGTTTTGTTCCAAAGATTTTTTTATTAACAGATCAATAGCACCGAGCTCTAAAGCCTTGTTTCCTTGGAAGTCAAATTGAATGTTACTTTCCGGTAAGTATGCTTAGAGTTGTGAACTACAAAGACCCATAGAACTCGTACATAGTAATGCAGTAGCAGCTGGTTATTTTCTTTTATGTAACTCCTTGCTAATTTTAAGAAAGCATTTCCAGCTTTCAGAGTTTGAACTGTTGTTTAAGGCATTTCACTGGTTCAGATTGGATTTTGCTGCATTTGTTTCTTTAAAGGTGTTATTCTATTTTAAAATGTATTTCGGGGGAACTGTTCTGTTTCTTCTAAGATCTCTTTTCTCAAAGAAATCCTACAATAAAAATAGGAAGCAATGAATAACTTCCTTCTCTGTTGTATTCTAGAACTAGCATACTCTGCCCATAATAACCTTCTATTTCATTTCCTTTGATCTTGCCTTCAAGATTGCCTGGCTCATATGCTGGATTCAATTTGTGCTTCTTGTTACTTTGAGAGAATCAACATAAATGGTGCAAAATGAAGTGACATGAGTGGGAAGGCTAATTGCTTGACTAATGCTGAGGCTGTCTGTGTAGGTTTCATTATTCAAACTGTCAGGTATTCCTCCTGGGCGGCCTGATAAAAAAGCAAAAATTAGGGACAAACCAGACATGAGGATAGCATAACATTACTATTGTGATGGTGGTCTCAACATTGTATCTTCACAACCATCCTGTAAGGTAAGTCCCATGGGAAATCATGGCGGCCCAAGGGCAGCTGACCTTCATGGCTAATCAGGGATTTATCCAAAGCCTTTGCATCCAACCCCTGCAGTCTAAATGTACTGAAACGTACATATTTTATGCTATTAGCCAGAAAGAAGGATGATCTTTGAGAGCTAAAAATGGCATCTTCCCTGCATCCTTCACTCTCCTGCTCTCTTCCACAGACTGTTCTCCATCTCAGGCAATCTCACCTATTGCACTGGAGCCCAACAGGTAACGGAGGAAATTCAGCCTAGAGGCTAGGAGTAGGCAACTTTGGAAGTTCTGAGGGACCATTTTCACACTCCTTGGCCCAACTGGGGACCACACCTGCTGCACCAATGAATTGCTACCAAGTGTCAGAAGCAAAAAGCAGCATTTCCACAAGGACTGTGGTGAATGCACACCTTGTGGTTACGAGAGCTCCAGGAAGAAGAGAATTATCATTAAAAGAAGGTGTGCACCAACTACATGCCTTGCTGAAAAGCAGAGCTGTGTTTGCTGCCACAAAATTCAGTGACAATTTGGTGATGGCAGGAATCTGGGGGGCAATAGGGAGGGTGCACAACAAGCCAAGGGGGTTGCCCACCCTGCTGTAGGCCATGGGGAGGCTTCCATTCCTCAACCTGCTCTTTGCTCCTTAAATCAAAATCCACCCTTTCTACAAGATTTCAGCAGACCGACATTTAGCAGAAGAGTCTGTCCCTGTGACATCTACTTAAGCCTTCACAGCAGCAGAGTGCCTCCCACAGACTAGTAAATGGTCTTTTATTGGTATCATTTTCTTTTGATCACCGCAAAACAATACGTTCACTTTTAGCTTTGGCTGTTGGGGGCCAGTTTGCATAACTGATCTGCTGCCAGAAACACAAGGCAAATTGTCCTTGGCCATGAGCTTGTCCACAACAGGGTGGAAGAACTTGTTGGTCTCAGCCACGAGCCCAGCCACAAATGTGGGGAGAGATTACTGCATGAGTGCATGGTGGTCCAATCTTTGCAGTCAGATTCTTGGCAACAAAGGAGGGTGTCTTTTTGCAAGGACAATAGGGATACGGCTCACGTTCCGCTGATGCAGAAATCTAATCGCTGAGTATGGCCTCTTATCAGAAGCAATATTCCACGGTGTATCCTAACCACATTTTGCACTCTTGAGCACTCTGGATCAGACTTGGAGAGGGACCGTAGTGCCGTTTGAGAGCTATAACTAATTATAGCTGCTTTAATTATAGAAGGTCCCAGTTAAATCTCTAGTTAAAGGGATCAGGTAACAAGTGAGGTGAAATACTTCTGCTTGAGATCCTGGGGCAACACTGTCATGGACAGACAAATGGCCTGATATGGTGTAAGGAAACGTTCTAGTTTCTGAGCTATTTCACATGTTGGATGAGATCAGGGAGTGCAGACTCTCAGGTGGGGGCCCAAAAACAGCTCGCTTGGGGTCTTACTGCTGCCCTCTGATGATCACACCCCTAGCCAAGGCTCTGCTGAGTGTTTGGTGGTTTCCTAGCCCTTCAGCAGTTTTCCTCCATTCTAAAGCTGGCTGGAACTGGGGGTCAGACTAGATGGCCCAGGAGACCCCTTATGACTCACTCTGCTTCTATGTTTCTAAGAGGCTGTAATGTTTCTTCAAAGGATTTGTTATTTAAAGGTGCACACTTGCAGCTGCAGGCCCCTTTTCCATCTAAACTTGTATTGGAATGTGCCTTAAGAGGTTTAAGCTACAAGATGTTGGTATTTTGGCCTACACCATTTGCTTTATGCCCCATTCCCCACTTAGAGCTTTCCGACTTAGAGTTCATCCCTTGGACTGAAAGAGGTTCAGCCAGTTCCTGGACTGGATCCTCTTCCAATATGGACCCTGAACACAGATCTTTGAAGCTCCCACTGCAGTGAGGTATGAGGGTCCATGGCCGCCTTGTCTTTCCCTCCCAGGTCAGTTACCTACCCTGCTTGGTCACCTGCACCTAACTCCTGACTCTAACAACTCCTCTACTTTATAGAATGCAAAGCTGCACCCAAAAAATCTAGCTCTAATTTTGATGACACAGTATTACATTTCTACCCCATAGGTGGCCACATGGAATTGCATCCTCAGTTGAAGGTTCCACCAAGCACTGAAAAGACTAACTTAGCTTCAGCAAGATGGTGCCACTTCATGCACCTTCAGACCTTGCTGGAAGACAAGAGGAACCCATGTAGCTCTGCAGCTTCCTGGAGGAAATAGGACTTTTTCTTTTTAAACAGGGAGTGGGTCTTTCTGCCCTTGCTGGTATACGAAAAATACTAAGATTTTTCCCCCTCTGCAAAAAGACACACAAACTCCCATACCTTGGTAATAGCAGAACAGAAAAGGTCTAATGTGCTGTAGCTTGATGGTGATTTATTACTTCCACCTTGGCTCACAGCACTGCATGCCTTTCTCAGTACAATCAAGTGTTACCTAGTAAATATTTAAAGTTTCCATGTTAGTAGGCCAAGATTCTTTCAACCGTCTTACGAAGCATTTCATGTGACCACAAGGGGAAAAGTCTATTCACTTGCACGTTTGGTTCTTCGACTTATTTTCTACTTTAGCTAAAGTGCCAATTCATACTAACGTACTGTGTAAGCCATAATGGGGAACTTGTGACCCTCTAGATATTGTTGGATTCCAACTCCAGTCAACCCCAGACTGCATGGCCACGGTGAAAGAAGAATGGAGTTGTAGCCCAACAACTTTTGAATGGCTACACATCTCCACTCTGAGAGGTAAACGGCTGGGTTCAGACCTCCAGTTCATCATGAAACCCATTGGCTGGCCTTGAGCAAAGTTATGCTCTTTCAGCTTGACTTGGACCACCTTTGGATGATGGGCTAACCCATGTATGGAGCCTCAGTTTTCTTGTAAAAATTGTTAATATTTATACATTTATTTTGCAAAAATTCTATCTGGCCTTTCTATGCAAGTCTATCCATTGACTTGGAAATACAATCTTGTCAAACTCACAGATGGGATTAGATCAAACTTCATCTCTCTTTCACAACCCTATGATTCTAAGCTCGATTTTCACAACTTGTAAGACATTCTTCCCCAGCCTGGCACCTATGACTCCCATCATCCACCAGTCACCATGGCCATTTGCCTACTGACAAGGGGACCATGAACACATCTGGAAAACACTAGACTGGGAAAAGCTGTTGAAAATCTCCAAGCAGTAGGATGACTTTAATACAATTGGTGAATGTGTGTGCTGGTAACTAGTGCTTTAAAAAATCATTTTTAGAAAATGATTCATGCATTGATGAAGCTTACTATTACATCATTAATACATTATTCTATCAAGTACATTTTACAATGAGGGAAGGGCAAACAAGGTAATAAACAAACCACAGACAGCAAATACAATGCAAGACAAGTGGTACTATGACAAATCATCAATGTATAACAGTGAACAAGGTTGTATTACATCTTGAACTTTTTCATTCCCATTATTTTTTTTCAATGAACAGGCCTAGGTGTTGCTTTCCCCCTTATACCTAAAGTATATCATTGGGTTTGAATATATATACCATTTCCTGTATTTTCATGCAACAGGCAGCAGGGTTAACTTTTCCCATCTGTTACTTCCAATCATATGTACTACAGTGAATAGACTCATTACCACTGCAATATAGTAAAATTTCACAATATCTTTGATATCGCCAAATAACACAATAAAAGGTTCAAAAGGTAACTCATATCCTGGGATGTGCTTGAACTCTGTACGGTATTATTTTATCATTTTGGCAGAAATATGAGATACACATAAATTATTGCAGCCAGCATCTTTTAAACTTAAAACAGGTCCAAAATATACAATAAATATCGCCCTGATTAGATCTGCACTTAAAACATTGGCCATTTCCACTTTGATAAATTCCACTAAGTAATCTATGAGGTCACCGCATCTTCTTTTACTTCTTCACAGAAATGTATGATAACGTGACGGGATCTCCAAAGTCATCAGTCAGGTTCAACTGTCTGCACATTAGGAGAGTCGCGAAATTGTCCCAGATACGTGCTAATTCTGTATGTTCTTAAGGACTAGATTTAACTCGTCTTTTTGACAAGCAAAGCCTCTCTCAGAAGTTCTGCTGGCTTATTTCTAGGGCTGCTAATGTATTAATTTTTAGTTAATTAACAGTGTGTTTTTAAACAGTCCCATGTGGACTATTTTGTATGTTGTCATGTCTCAATATAGGTGCCTTTTTGAGATAGTAAAGAGGTGTAAGATACTATCTAGTGCTTGAATGAATGGCCATTATTTAATAGTTTCTTTCTCATTCTCCACTACAACAATCAATCAGAGAAGCCAATGTATTGGCAGATCACAAGACTCAACTAGTTAAAATTGGTTCCCACCAATGGATCAACTATAATATTAATGTATAGTGAAACTTTCCATACACAGAGAGCAGAATATGGAAGGGCAACAAGGGAGGTGTGGAATGGAGCAAGGAGGAGAAAGTTGATTGGGTTTGCTTGCTCATCCACTACTGTGGCAGGTAAAGGGGCTAGAAATGGGGGATAATGGAAAACTCATTCCCTTTGAAGCTCAATAAACCTATGGTGAATTTCCAAATTTGCACATCTGTAGCATAATTTGCATAAATTTGTGCCAGTTGTGTAAATTTTGCAAATTGGGACTGACTGGTTAGATTTGAGTCTTTGTTCCTGTTCTTGTTGTAGCACTGAACATAAGAAGGGAAGCCCCTTCCTCTTACTGCACAAGTACACGCCCCGTCTTGGGCACCTTGAGTTTTCTGTTAATTCCAGGTTTGTGCAAAATCCAGGCCTCCGTTCTGCAAATGGTGCAAATTACACATATCCATATTTTGCACAAAGTTCTCTGGCTTAAGAAAGGAAAAATAAAATAAAATAAAATAAAATTGTGGCCCATTTTAAAACCAGAAGTCAGCTTGCTTCTCAGCTCATACCAGATTGAGTCAGCATGTACAACAGGGATGAGAGAATGAAATCTGAGGAGAACATTGAATTGAAAGAATCTGCTGGACAGTCAATCCGTAGCAGACCCCTCAGACCCCTAGCCAAGCTTCCTTTCCCATTATCGGAATCTGGACAGCTGGGGTTGTTCATGGGTAAAACAAGCCCAACTTGGGCTAGGAACAACCCACAAATTGCCACTGGGCGCCACCATGTCATCCAAACAGGTCACTGCTGCCAACTGACTAGAAGTAACGCTATTTGTTGCTTCTGTGCCCTTTCCAGTAGCTTAACCCGCTTTTCCATGGTGCTGATCGACTGGCATGCAAGCCAGTAAAGAGGTTTTGAATCCCGACAGAGGAATTTCCACTAAGGAAGAGCCAATGACTGCATCCAGAGTAAATCCCCATACTCCAGGTGGGACTTCTCTTCACAGGCTTTGATTGTTAATTGTATTAGCATATCCATTTCTGTGGCACCACCAGCCACCTCGCTACTTGATAACAACAGGCTAATGACACTGAAGACACAAGAGGCTACAAACCCTGTAATTCAGCCTCTTTGAGCATTGCACATTAACTGCATTATCACATGTCACTACCAATTAGCACATGTCCTCATCCTGTTGCTGACAGACCCTTGGCACCAACATTAATTATATAATCATAATACCTAAAATCTGAACATTTCCAGCAACTCTTGCTAAATATGTCCACAGTTTCTCTAGCAAGCAATGGCTAATGGACTCTTAGGATTGTTTCAGTTACTTGTGTTAAATATAAATGGCCAATTATTACTTATATTTGGGGCAGGGGAGAAGTATGCCTCAATTAATTAGCAATTATTAGTATTATTATCTTCTATGATCAACATGTATGAATAGCTTATAAATTCTGTTTCTTGAAAGTAAGCGCCACTGACATCAGTCGTCTGAATTCAGAGTTAATCTGGGTCCTCATCTGGATAGAGATACAGCTAAGCCCTTTTAGCAATCTCCTCCTCTTGCACCTGGAGTGTGCCATATCGGCTAGATAAGGATCAGCACCCTTCTCTGATCACAGGTAGTCATCAGAATGGCAAAAGTATTTTTTCTCCATGTGAGGTTAAAAGATTAAGGCCATCAGAAGCCCATTTCAAATGCTTGACCAGGAACTATCTCCCATAACCTTCTGTTCTTTCCCCCTCCTCCTCTTGTCAGCCCACATACCTGACCGATAGCGCTCATCACGTGACCCTGAGGACCTGCGGCGGTGGTATCGAGAGGAGGAGGAAGGAGTGACAGGAGTTCGGCGTTCTTGTGGCAGTGCTTGATCCACTCCTGAATTTTAAGGGAGAGAACAAAGATTACCTTGGTGCGTTAGCATACAGAATGCATAATATATACAACTGTACAGGCAACCCCCCCTTTTCATTTTGCATATACAGGTCTCCATTTTGGAAACAAAATATGTACCTATTAAGACACAGCATAATAATAAATGATGAACTGTTATGTGGCTTCTTCTGAATAAAAAAGCTCCTGAGCTTTGAGGATTTCAGTATTAGGTGCATGTGTGTTGGCTCGGAAGTTCATCTTCTTCACGGAGGCAGGACTGCCATATCCAAATTCTGACCCTAGTGTATGGGGCAAAGACCTGTGTGAGTTAAAATGCAGGCATGCTATGCTGATGAGACTCTCAAGCCAAGAACAGTTTGCGATGTTATGTCATCCCATGCTTATTATCAGAAGTATGTATGAACCCGGCACTGGCCAAATGTGCAAGCGGCAGGGCAAACAGCACAGATCACTGCACTGCACCAAAGCATCGGAAATATCACTCCAGGGCAAAAATTCAGGAGAGTTCAACCCCGCTAGCAAGGACGTACATGCAGCAAAAGTGGCTAGGAAGAGAGATGGCAGAAAAGCATCCCTACATAAAATCCTCAAATGGAGGATGGAGACCTCTTTGCAGTGGTGGAAATCATGCATATTAACTGACAATCGTATACTTCAGTGTGCTGCATTTTGGGCCAAAGAGAACGCTGTGTTCCTTTCATCTCCATGCTACACCTGAGGATGCAGTAACAGACTCCTGCCAGTTCCCATGGGGGTGAGTGGCAAGTCAAGCAATTACAAACGTCTCAAGAACGCAAGCTGTGAAACACACTAGAGAGTCACTAGGCATTTGTGCTAATTTCAAGTATAAAACCAAGTCTCTACCCACAAGATCTTTCCAGAGTTAAGATTTCTGGACATTTTAGTTCAACAAACCCATCTGCTCTTTCCAGATGTTACTGTCTCTGATTCCAAAATGGAAGATAGATCTCCATATAAATGACTAAAGGAGAAGGACATCCTTGTAAGATCTTTATTTTTCACATGGCCGCCATTCTGTATGAAACAGCATCAGGGAATGTGCCATACAAAAGAAAGCAAGGAAGGGTATAAAACAATTGAACTGCACTGGGATGGATCATGGGCTGTGCACCAACCTGACAAATAGTTAAAAATAAATACAAGCTAATTGGAATAATCAGTTCAGCAGCTCTTTCCGAACAGCATCATGTGGTTGTGTTAGGAATAGGCGATAGCTCTATTTTAGGCCTACAAATTAGATACTATGATGCTATGAATCACAGGAAAGAAACAAACTACTCCACTTAGAGAAAGGGTGGTAGGTAGCTCACACCCTTCAACATTTCCCAGGTGAAAAAAGGGACATTTCTCTAGTTTTATCTCAGGAGTTACAATCTGAATCCCACACCCCTTATATAACATAGAAACACAGAAACAGAGTGAGTCAGAAGGGGTCTCCCGGGCCATCTAGTCTGACCCCCGGCTCCAGCAGGCTCCACTCACGACATACCCACCATGCGCATGTCCAGCCTATCTTTGAACACCCTCACTGATGGGGCCTCAACCACCTCCCGTGGAAGCCCATTCCACACCCTCAGGGTCCTGGTGCTTCCTGGCATCTAAATGGAACCTTGGTTCCCTGAGCTTGGCTCCGTTGGAGTGCGTCCTGTACACTGCTTGACACTTTTTAGTGTGCTATACAATGCTTTAATTTTTTCTGCCTTAGCCTGATTTATTAGCATGCAGGGAACTTATTATTTTGGTTAAACGTACACTAGCAAAACAGAGCCTTTCTACAATGCAAAGATGAGGGAAATGTAAGTTGAGGTTGAGAAAGCAACTGCTATTCACCATTTCCACAGTACTTCTCCCCACTTACAGCACCATGGCTCTATTTTCAATTGCAAAAGGTTGGAAGGTAGGCCAATATCGCACTCAAAAATGCCAATTAATTTTTCTCATTTGTATGTAGTCCCCTTATCCTGTAAAACTGCAACTATAAAAACAGCCCAATCAACATGTGATTTTTCAGTTTTCATTTTCCTTGGAATTGATTCCCCTTGTAATTATCCTTGCCATAGAGTGGCCAGCTTTGTTTGTTTTAGAATTGCATGTAATTACACTTCTCTGGCAAGGGAAACAGCCAATTGAATGTGTTGCCTTTATTAAAGGTCAAGATAGGAACCTGAATTCAAAAGCCCAATTGATATATTCCCCCCTACTTACAGAAGATACAAGTAAAATTTCATGGCTTCTTCCGAATTTTTGGTGAAATAGTGGAATCAGAATACATTCCTTTCAGGATAATGAGAAGCACAAAAGACTGAGCCTTGCAGGATATAGACCCTTTTGTATGAGTGGCAAAACCCTTGCAAAATATCAAGAACTTGAGGAAATCTTTGGGGCCATCCTCCAGAGGGGCCTGGTACTGAAGGCAAAGGAAGCGGGGCAAAATACCAGAAGTACCAGCATATTCTAGCTTAAAGCCTTTACAGCCAGTAACTAAGCTTTGGGGGAAGCATTTCATTTTGGAAAGACGGCATGAAAGCTCAGAAACCACCAAGAGAGATCAAAAGTGGAAGCTGCCACTGAAGATGCTCAGCTAAGGCCATCTAGTGAGTTTGAGGCAGGGAGAACAAAAGACCTCCATATTTCCATGTTTGTTAGACTACATTTCCTATCATTCTTAGACAGCAGGGCTGGCAATGATGCAGCTTGGGAGCCCATCACATTTAGAGGGGTGGAGAAGGGCCGGCCTACATGCTATTTTCGTTTTCAAAAGAGAATCCCACATCTTAAATATAAGCAGCACTCTTTGTCAAACCCTAAAATGAAAACCCTTCTCTCGTCTCCAAGTGATATCGAAGTTTTATTCCTTGGGTCTTAAAGGCTTTGTTGACATCGACAGCTTTGACATGAAAGCAAAGAACAGCCGATGCTCACAACTGTTTGCCATGATATCTTCTATACCAAAAACACCATTGAAAGCTAGATGGCAAGGGAAAGGAGCCAGGAATCAAATGGCCACAAAAATAATCAGACAGACAGCAGTTTCGGCACCTGTACTGGAACACGCCGGAAACAGAACATATGGCAGTGTAGCATTTGAAGGAGATTTCCCTTATGGACAATTGTAGATCATGGCTGGCACACAGGTGGTTAGTTTTGCTAAATCTGCAACTGCAGGAGTTCAAGCCGCTCGGTGTATCGGGATCTAACTCTACCAGCATCTTTGATTAACTGCTCTCTGAAATTTACAGAAGGCCTCTGCTTGAATGGAAACCAATACATTCCTTGCCAAATTTAATTAATTTCTGAATGTCTATGTGTTTCATCCCCAACTGGGTAAAAATATCAGAAGTCCAAATTAGAAACACAACTGTTGAAATGAAAGCCCGAACTGCTATCTTTGGCATGGTAGGACCAGCAGCAACACATCCTGACCTTGTGGTGAAACGTGTGTGGGTCCATGACCATCTCTTACTGTAATCCTTTTACTTTTGCCAGTAAGTCATCCTCAGGACCAGCGTGACCACTGAGCAGAATGAGCCAGTCCCATCAGGCTGAGGATGCTGTGAGGAACTGGTTCACCCTAAACTCCCCCTTTAAGGCTTGGATGCTGCAGAACGAGTCTAGAGTCCCCTAAAGGAACATCCAACTGCCAGTCCATTTAAACTCATTCTAACTTACGATCTTTTGTATTTTATTGTAAGCTGTCCCGAGACGTTGGTAGAGAAGCCTTTAATAAATAAATAAATATTTTGAGGTGTTTTCATTTTTTATTTTGTAAACGTATTAGAAATGTTTTTGGATATAGTAACCAGTATTTAAATTAACACTTAAATATTTAATATTCAAATTTAAATATTCAAATCAACCAGATAAATGAATAATATTGTGATGTGTGCAGCCAAAGCAGAGCCATGTGTATGTGTGAGCATGTGCTTATGCAATGATTCATGTCGGCATAGTCACGGTGTTCAGAAGGGATCAATCTGGCAATAATAGCACATGAGCAGTTGCATGTGTTGCTCACACGTCGCATGTAATCTTACCCTACAAACCACTCCCACCCCAATATTCCACCACAGAGGAAGCTGTGGCTGAAATCACCATCTTGTAGGTTGCTGTCATGGGAGAAGGATGCAACTCTTTGGTAGAGTAGATGCTTTGCATGTGGCATGTCCCAGATTCAGCCTCTGGAATCGGACAGAGGTGATGGGAAAGACTTCTGCTAGAATTCCTGGGGAGAAACTTCCTAGATAGTACTTACAATAGGCAAATAGTGTTTCCACATAACAGTAAGTAATGGTGTGGTTCCCTGAAACTTGGGTTGTTGTTGTTGTTGTCTGAATCCATCCCCACAAACCATGTTTTGTTAACCAACTGCTAAGCACAAATAAGGGCCTCAATGAGCAGAGGTTCTGCTTAGTACTTGCAACCATTCTTGCAAAATCAGGCAGAAAACTTAGCTATTTGACAAATTTAGATGCCCAGCACATGTCAAAAAATGACATACTTTAAAATCAACCTTTGCCCACCTCTTAGATTAGGAGTGAGCAGATTTGTGTTTTGTTCTTTTTTTAACCAGGATCCTGAATTCCTCACCTGGAGCTGGGTGCAAAACAGTGGCTCAGGCAAGCATGCATACACTAAGAACTAAGGGACAAGGGTGCCTGTAAACACATGCTCAGCCTGGGAATTTGCAACAAGTACCACAATCAAACTCACACCTTCTTCCACATGTCCATCCACTCCATGTTTTCCTTCTAAGTTCTTTCTTTAAAAACAGCTTTTTATTTATGCTATTGGAAACTCTTGCTATGAAAGCCATAGATCCTGATTACCCTCTGTCCATCCCAATAAGGAACACATGTGTTGGTACATTTCCCAAAGACAAATTTGTGTATTTTCAGTATGTCTTATTCATTCATGATTATATCTGGCATTTTAATCCCTCTTTAATATTTTAAAAATGCTCCAAGTGACTAAAAAGTCATGCGCATGGCAATGAAAGGTTAGCATGAGAAAGTGGAACTTGGCTTGCAGGGTTGCAGCGCCAACAATTTCCAATTAACAAGGATGATTTTGTACCTTCTCAAAATTTCAGCTCCCCTCTGAGCTTGGCTGCAATCCTCGCAGTAGCAGGGGAGAATGGTTACCCATAAGAATATTTTGCCTCCTGTTGCAGTACTAAGCACTTTGGAGTGGCTTGGTCCTGAATGGGTAATTATGACCCATCAGCTTTCCAAAATATCAGTTCCTGAGGGAAGGGTCTGTAAATGTTTTGTTGATCTGGCTTAAGAGAGCTGCCTCTATTTTTAGACTTTCTTAGAGGGTCTGGCTATTAAGATTGTCATGATGGGTACCTGCACTTTAAAATCTACCTCTTTAATACCACACCTGGGACATCGGATAGGTAGGCCAGATCTACTGTTCATACCCAGTTCACCTCAAGAGGAGGCTACTAAAGCCACAGCACGCCAAAAAAATACTTTTTCTAAAAATACAGATTCAAAAACATTGCCATGCCCAAGAGAAGTCTGCCTCATCAAACCGCTGTAAAATATAGTATCTAATCAGTTAAAAGGAGTCTCAAAAGTTGTTATGATATGCATGTCGGAGCCGGCTAGTGCCGGAGGTCAGACTAGATGGCCCGGGAGACCCCTTCTGACTCGCTCTGTTTCTATGTCCTCCCTGTCCAATAAAAAAACGGAGCTGAAGTATTGGATTTCTTTAGGAGGCCTTCCTGGAGCTTTGGTCCTATGGCAGAGCAGAAAATGCGAAGCTGGATACTGACTTTAGGAAGGAAGCTGTGCATTGGAGACATATCGCTTCCCTCCGCTCTTTTCCCCAAGGTAGTTGATGGGTAATTGGAATTGTGTGTGTTTGACTCAAGGATGTCCTGCCAAACACAGTAACTGTTGCCATTCTTCCATCGTGGCAGGAACGCCGACGTCCCGGTGGCCACACAAACGCATCACGCTCATCCCCTTGGTAAATGTGTGATCCGCTTGTTGTGAGAAAACTGGCAACTGGTTTGCATTTCCAGGACTTTCAAAGGGAAGCTTCTGCCACGAAACCACTTCATCATTACCCGTATCACTGATACACAACGATCTTGAAAGGAAGGATTATTGTCTGAACAGAGTCATGAAAAGTAGGCAGGATACAGAAATAGATGTATATATTTTTGTGCTCACCAAAACGAAAGTAAAACAGAGGCCGGTTTGCCGCTGTGCTGTGTGGTGCTGAGCGCTCTCTAGCTGCTGCTTCTCGGATGTCACAGACCCCAATGTTGCTAGTGCGGAGCGTCCTTCTTGCAGCTCCTTCACTGTGCTGTAGTCTACACCGTACCGCGGCAGCTCCATTCGCCGCTGTAACAAGTCGAAAAAAACTAATTAAATCACGTTTAGTTTTTTTACATTTGTTACAGCCACGGATGGAGCTTCTGCCCCCATGCAGTGAAGCGTAGGCACACACGAGCTCACACGTGGGCACACATACACACGCAAGCGCGCACACACAAGCACACAACACTACAGTACGGAGCCACATAACCAATTTCCCACTCTGCCAACATTGGTGTTTGTAATTTCAGCAAAGCAGCAACAAAGAGGCCTGGGTGCTGGAACAGTGGGAACTGCCTTGTGGTTTACTGTCAATCTGGTGGCACGTTGGCGCAAAAGCTTGAGGCATCCCATCATAAACATGACATGCAGAATTCAGCCACTTTTGTTTTTATGATTTAAGAAAATCTCCCCGTTTCAGTCGAGAGATCAAATACGAAGCGGTATCAATGCTTGCATTTCTGAACTGATTGTGATGGATGAAGGAATGGATGATCCCACTAGGCTGTGGGGGGTGAGCTCTGTTGTTCTGCTGCTCTATTAGCCCTTTGTCTTTCCCACGTGTGGTACAGGAATCCCCATTCATATGAATCAAGGAGAGAGTCAGTCCCGTCATATGAAAACACCAATTTTGTTTGGAAAGTACTGAAGACACATATATAGGAACAAACAGTATTACAAATACATTGAAGATCTCCTAGCCACAAGCAACTTTACTGTCTATTAATAGCAAATTTAACAGCTGTTCATTTTGTTGGCACAATAAAATAACGGATGTAATGGGGTGCCCTTTGTCCTTTCCATATTTTCACAAACAAGTGAACTTTGCTCCAGCAGATGTAGCAGGCAGGGCTGTATGTAGGTGTACTTCTGCCGAAAGCCCACAAAATGTGTTAATGGGAGTGGATTTCAGCCCCTTAAAAATTTCCGCTTCTATTTCATAACAGGCAAGTTTCTTTTATAGTTGTGAACATATGCTTGGAAGTGGATTGGCCATCTCGCTCACCTCTCGGGAGAAAGAGGGCAGGGTGACTGAAGAAGTCTGTGCTGGGGCTTCATCACCCGCTATATCTTTTTTCCCTTTTCATGTTTAGCCAAAGTGAAGTGCTAAATTGGCAGAATGCATTATGCAGCATAAGATTAATTTTCTGATTTGCATAAAATACACAGGATGCATAACTGAGCTTTTCTTGATGCAGAATTTTGATTAAATTGGCACAGAATCTTCATATTTCTCAATGCATTATTACACACAGCTTTGATTCCAAGTCTGCATGCAGGCATCTGTGCATGGAAACATTTCACAGTGCTATTTTGAAGCTTGTGCCTGCAATAGGACAGGAAGTATCGTATCAATAATTTTAGCTTCAAATCAGTTGCTTACTGAAATTTCCATACATCCACAGGGTAATGAGAAACAAGCATTAGATTTTATACATTCTGTGTAGTCACTTAAATTTTTAAATGAGAGATACAGAACTCAGGCAATTAAATACTACTCAATTTAAAAGTCTTCTTATATAGTACAGTAGATTTTGGGGGACGGGGGAAGAGCTCTAACCTAGCCTAGTCTCACCAAACTGTATTTTATTTTCATTTGAATTGCCTGAAGGCACATGGGCTGCCATCCTGCCATCCACTGAGCTGCACACCAAACACGCCTTCACTATCCTGGGGGAGAAATGGACAAGAATACCCTGTTTCTGACTGGGATGCTTTACCTGCCAATTAATAGCATGGGGAATGGTGCTTCCATATAGCCTAAAATGCCTGATCCTGCCTAATCTTGGCAGCTAAGCAGGGCTGAGTCTGCTTGAAATCTGGATGGGTGACTTACATGCTGTGAACCGCCCAGCAAGTTTTGGCTACAGGCAGTACAGAAATGTAATGCAATGTAATAGCAGTAGTAATAGTACTATTGCAGTGCCTGTTGCATTAATGCAAGCATACGTTCTGCAATTTCCATAGAAAACACCGAATCCATGGAATTTACATCAAACTTCCATATAATTTTGTTGGGACTAGGAAGAAAACCTACCAGGGGTCTGAGTTCTTCACAAACAATTTGGTTTAAAAAACAAAAATGTTTCTTTTCAGGAATGCCTTCAGTGGGAAATTTGTTAGAACTAGTTTCTGTTTTTAAAAGATTTAAATATTTTTCACTGCTGTACATTGTGTTTTTCTGCCTCTGCTTATGCTGTAAATTTAAATTGTTAAATATGTATTAGTTTAGGACCACCTGAAACTAAGAGGCATATAAATAAAATGTTAAAATAAATTTTAAACTGTTGCTTGAATATTTCAAAGTTACACTAATACAGCAAAGGGTCACCCTGGTTAGAAATTATGGAATCTGGAGTGCAGCATTTTAGAGGGCACCGGGCTGGGGAATAATGCCTTTTAAATTTTTTAGGGGGAGGGGGGATGAAATTAATACTGTTCAGCTTGATTTGGCTGGAGGAACTTAAGTCCTGATACAGAAGAACAGAGTGTTGAAAGAATCTAGTTCTTCAGATGTTTTGGACTTCAACTTCCAGAGGTTAGACATTCTGAGAGCTTAAATCCAAACATTTGAATACTGCTTTCTGCCACCTCCTGCAGTAGATGCACAGATCTTGAAACTGGCAACTCTGGCAAGAAAGTAGTCAATGGTAAGCTGAAGACCCATGCCTGACTTCTGAAACACACTGGCACCCTCCTTGATTTAAAAATTGCATTAAAATTTGGTTCAGTTTCTGATTTCAGGCCAAGAGAGAAAGACAGTGAGAGCCAAATACAGCAAGACACCACGACACAATTGCATGCCTGACTTTTAAGAACGAAGCGGTAGGATGATGGAGAAAGGTATGATCCACCTGCAGATTCTAGTGGGTAGAAGCAGATGCCAGGGGCTAGAACTCTTTGCCTCTTGCTGCACTACCAGTCCAGATTTTGGAAGTGTCTCTGCCAGTCACAGTGGAAAGATAAGCTTCCATTTGAGTGAGTGGCAGTTTTTGTTCCTTTGATCTATCATCTGAGCCATAATGCCTCTGAACCCAAACTGAATTCCACCAAATTATGCTCAGATTCCTGCCCAAATAGGGACAAAAGGTGCTTATCTGCATAGCAAACATTTCACAAAAAGGTGGAGTCACACCCATGTCGCAGAAAACATTATCGGTTTTCCACTAAAGCCAACCAGGGCACGTGGGAGAACTAGAAATCACCAGAAGTCACTAGTTCCTGGTGCTGCACCGGCTGAAGTCCCGGCTCTTTCTCACCAGACATTTGCACTTTTGTGGAAGGGCTTTTCTTGTTTGTTTCACGTGATTGTGATAATGGCAAATCGCCCTGTAATGCCAGCATGCCTTGTGCTTTGCCCAGCTTGGTGTCCTATAGTTTGTGTTGAACTGGAACTCCCATCATCCCCAGTTGTCATGTCCATTTGCCTTGCCAGCAGCGCAGGGCGGTGGTTGCAGTCCACCCCATCAGGACAGCACCATCTTGGGGAATTCTGGCCTCGGCATAAACCCCTTTGGTCCTAACCCACTAGAATTCAGGACACTGCCAACCCCTTTTGATGCATGCACAGCGGAGGCCCGATGGATGCTGGATCCATTTCTGCTGCTTACTGCTTCTGGAAATCTATATCTTGATTGTTCAGTAGTGATACTGATAACTTTATCAGGTCTCCTTTAATTCAGATGTCATGCTTTTAACCCTACTAGTTTCCTTCACTGAGCTTTCCTTCACAGACCGAAATTTTATTGCTCTCATTCAGTTGTGCTTTCATGCAATGGGGAGGGGGGACATTGGCGAAGGCATACATTGATCATATAATTATACAAGGAGACACACATTCGCACACAAGAACTGGCTGGTGGGAGCAATCTGCATACACGGCACACTAGCAACGGGTTCCTCGGTGTCCCAGATAAACCTTCCCCAATGATGCACATTAATATTCAGGCTTAATGATCAATACACATGACAGCTCCATGCATTGCTCATACATTTCTACATACCAGGAGGTTGTGGCAAGTAGGCCCCAATTAATTTTGATCTTTTCTTTTCATAGCCCTTCTGTGTGATGTCACCTGCCAAGGAAAGCAAAGGAAAATCAATAAAAGCTTGAACGAAGACGCAATCTGGCTGCTCGAGTCAAGGTAGTATATACTTTGCCACTATGGCTCTGCCTGTTTGTCTTGACGACTGTAATGAATGAACAACAGAAAGTATGTTACATTCATTCTGCCTAGAAAATTTAATTTACACTGGAGTCACTTTTGGCAACTGAACACCCAACATAGTTTTATACCGGTTGTAGAGAGTCCAAGAATCCGAGGGTGGCATTGTCATTCTGATATTATGTCACACAAAACTACATCAGCCTTCATTAAGTTAATCAACAGTGGATTATATAGAATGCTTGGATCCGTAATGGCTGGCAAAAGACATTACCAATTAGCATTTTCTCCACTATTAATGGGATTCTTTAATCAAGCATGAAGGGTGAACAAAAGATTTGGAACTGTTGATGCACTATTTAAATAACAATATAAACATTTGGCTAAGCTTTTAAGCGCTACTTCAGGACAAAAATGCAAAGCATCAAACTCATCCTACTTCCCACGATCAAACTATAAAAAGATCCCTTCAGCAGAGCACTCGGGATAAATTTTCAAACAAGCAAAATGAACCTCACAAATCCTATGTGCCACGGTACGAAGAGCAAAGATGCAACATTGCACCATTAGTTTATTTCTCTCATTAATGGATCAGAGAAGCTTAAGCATCGGTCGCAAACATGCGTTTAATCTAATTTTAGCAGTGCATGGAAGATTTTCATGTTGATATGTAGCACTAACACAGTGTAAAGCAAATGTGGGCACATTTGGCAATTTGAGAAACTGTTCTGAATACCACCACGAAATGGTGCGTCGCAGAGGAAAGCTTTGGCCCGTAGCCACTTGCAACCTCCATTTCCCAAGAATGTCTTCATGGGCTCAGAGGCACTGACAGGAAAATAGGACAGGTGTGGCTCCATACCCTCACTCTGCATGAAGCAGTCCTAGCTGCCTCTAAGAAATGCTGCTATTTAAAAATAAAAGTAAATGCAAAGCAGGAGGCACAGGGAGCTGCAGCAGGTGCTGGATAAGGTGTCCACAGGGGCTGGTGCCTAGGGGTACCTAACCTTTGCGCAAAGACCTCATGGCCCAATTCACGCTCTGTGTTACTGTGGGGCATCTTTTTTTTTTTTTTTTTTTTTTGCCCAAAGGCCACCCTGTGGTGGTGACTACAGGCAAGGCAAGGGCTGGATCTCCCTTGCCCATTTCCCGACTCACATGCGAATACATACAGCCTTTCCTACCACTGTATACATAAACATACACACATGTATACACAGTGCAATGGGGAGGATGGTGTGTGGGCACCGTCACTCCCACATGCTGACTTCCCATTGTAAGTACTTCTCACACCCCAGTTGGAGAATAGACCTCTGGGAGTGTGATTTCCAGCCGCAGAGAACATTTGGCAAACGCTTGCACACAATAAAGACTTTCGAGAGCTGCAGGTTGTCCATATTTATTTAATCTTTATTTAATCTTATTTATTATCTAGACCCCTGCTAAGCACAAAAGCCCATACAAAAAATGAAAAACATACAATGATAAAATATCACAAATTGATAAACCCCACAAGAAGAGCTGCGAAGGATAAGACCAAAGGTGCATCTAATCCAATATTTTACTTCCAGTGTCCAACCAATTAACTGTAAGAACCCTAAAGGTTAGACATGGGTTCTACAGCATCCACCCACCCATCTTCAACAGCAATTGCTGTATACAGGCTTACTGCTTCTGGTATCCATAAGAAAACACCTAGTATAGATGGTTCTAAAATTTAAAATACAACTGCAACTAAAACCCTAGAACAGTCCAATCAAATATAAGCAGGAAGCAACCAGTGAAAACAAGCAAGTCTTCAGGGCTTTCCTAAAAGCTTGCAATGGTGTATTCTTGACAATCTCTTCCAGATGTATGGGGCCACTGCAGAAAAGGCCTTCTCTCATTTACATGCCAACGTTAATGCCCATTGAAGAGAGTTTATTGCTGATATAATGATAAGGGTGGGCTGATATAGGGGAAAGCAATCTTTTCATTGGTTCCAACTGGTTAAGACACTGTAGGTTAAAACCAACACCTTCAGTTGGGCTGAGAAATGCAGTGTTTGTGGTACAGTGGAGTCTGATCTGATGGACAATAAGGATTCCACTTTCTGCTTCAGATGTATTATCCCACTGCCTTTAAGGACAACTCCCCATACAGAGGATTACAATAGTCCAACCTGGATCTCACTAGGGCATGGATAAATGAGGCAGGGCCTATTCTCTCCAAATAGGACTGCATCAGGATTACCAGTCTAACCAGGAAAAACCACACATGGACGCTGCTGCCACCTGAGGTTTCCCAGTTAACCACCAAGCCCAGGAGGGCTCAATCTGTGCATTTCAACTTTTGCGGGAGCCCAACTACATTTAAGTCAAGTTGAAAACTTCTACAGGCCGGATTCCAAAGGCCAGAGACTGAAATGCGGCAAACCAAAGGGGAGACAGACAGGCTCCTAGTCTTCGTAGCAAGTCTGGTCAGTCTTAGTCAACAGGGACAAACATTGCAGGCTCCTCTTGCCAAAAGGAAGTTCAAGAGTCCCAGACACAAGCCCTGAGGTGTAATTCCACAAAAACTATTTTGTTCCTGCTGTGCTTATGGTTTATTTATTTACAGCTTTTATATACTGCTCCACATCAACACAAATACCAGAACGGTGAATAAGAAAAAGAGACAAAAGGAGTAAATCACTATATTAAAAATGGAGTATCAATTTTAAAAGGCTATCAATTTAAAAAGAATGTTAATACAAAGAGTCTAACAAGAAAAGAAGTTGGGTACCTAAAATAAAGATGTTTTGGGAAAGCACCAGATCCATGATGCTTGACCCCCAGAGACAAGGTATTCCACAGAACTAGGCCCTTCTTGGGATAGACTCCAATCAGCCGCAGCCCATCCAATGTCCTGAGGACCAAGTAGGTTGATAAACTGGACTATGTAGACCACTGAGGTTGAGAAAGGCTTTTCGGCTTTTACATGTATCTTTCAATGAATAGCACAATAACTTCCCACTCAATAAACTGACTCTCTGCCTGTGTTGAACTAAGAGCCTTCCCCAGCCAGATGCCCTCAAGGGATTTTGGACTGCATCTCCCACCAATCCCAGTCAACATTGCCTTGGATCAGTGATGATGGAAGTTGCGATCCAACATATCTGGACTGCATGGGTCTTGTGGTACAAGGAAAATGCAGTTATACTGGCAATTTAAGAGTTCCAGAAAAAAAGTTTGAATGACTTTGTAGGGTAGAGGTAGAAAGTGAAAGACTCTATGGTAAAAATTACACAGGTCGCATTTTCTGATACCTATCAATCTCACTTTAGTCTTCTCTTTGCATGTTTTACACTGAAGTTTTGGGGCAGAAAAGAATCCTAAACAGTAAATATACCTGAGTGCACAGGCATGCAAAGTTTCAGCCATTTCAGTAAGGAAAGAAACATGAAAAACGCAGCATTGTAACCTTCTGAGATGGACGTGGTCTGGGGCAGTGGTGGGAAACCTATGGCATGTGTGCCACAGCGGGCATGCAGAGCCCTCCCTGTAGGCATGTGCGCCAAGCTGCCCCAGCAGCTGAGCAAGGGGCCATGCGCATGCGCGAAAAGAAGTAGTGGCGCCAGATGATGAAATCACAAGCAGCGATTCAACAGCCGTAACTCATTTGAGCTTTCACATGGTTGGTCAGTGGACTGCCAAGTGTATATGTGTATATATACTTGCTTGGACTGGCTGAGAGGGGTTTTTTCTAAACTACAACCTCAGCTTACAGGATTTACAGTGCTTAGAATGGTCAGAAATGGTGAGCAGTGCAAAAAAAGCAACTCAAGGAAGGCTTTTTCAAAATCGCATTATTTTCAATGGAACTTTCCCCCTGTATTAGGGTTAGGGGTGTGCACCAGGGTAGGGTAAGTGTTAGAAAAACGAGGTGTCCTGGCATGTTTTTAGTGGTTGGAATGTGTTTGGAGTGAGCAGAAAGGATCAGCTGTGCAGAAAAAGCTATTCAAGGAAGACTATCAAAATCCCCCTCTTTCCCATGGTATTTCAGCCTTATATTAGGGTCAGGGGTGTGCACCAGGGTAGGGTTCAAGTTAGAAAAACGAGGTGTCCTGGCATGATTTTGTTGGTTGGAATGTGTTTGGAATGGGCAGAAATGATGGGCTGTGCAGAAAAATCTATTCAAGGAAGGCTTTTCCAAAATTGTCCTCTTTCCTATGGTATTTGAGCCTTATATTAGGGTTAGGGGTGTGCACCAGGGTAGGGGTAGGGTTAATAAAATGAGGTGTCCTGGCATACTTTTGATGGTTGGAATGTTTTTCGAGTGGGTAGAAATGATGGGCTGTGCAGAAAAAGCTACTCAAGAAAGGCTTTTTCAAAACCGCCCTGTTTCCTATGGTATTTTAGCCTCATATTAGGGTTAGGGGTGTGCACCAGGGTTGGGTTAGGGTTAGAAAAACGAGGAGTCCTGGCAAGTTTTTGGTGCTTGGAATGTGTTTGGAGTGGACAGAAATGTTGAGCTGTGCAGAAAAAGCTACTCAAGGAAGGCTTTTCCGAAATTGTCCTCTTCCCTATGGTATTTGAGCCTTATATTAGAGTTAGGGGTGTCCATCAGGGTAGCGTTAGGGTGAGAAAAATGAGGTGTCCTGGCATGTTTTTAGTGTTTGGAATGTGTTTGGAATGGGCAGAAACGATGGACTGTGCAGAAAAAGCTACTTAAGGAAGACTTTTTCAAAATCGCCCTCCTTCCTATGGTATTTTACCCTCATATTAGGATTAGGGGTGTGCACCAGGGTAGAGTTAGGGTTAGAAAAAGAAGGAGTCCTGGCATGCTTTTGGTGGTTGGAATGTGTTTGGAGTGGGTAGAAATGATAAGCTGTGCAGAAAAAGCTAGTCAAGGAAGACTTTTTCAAAATCGCATTATTTTCAATGGGACTT